GCAGGTTGGTGTTCTAGTGCCGATAACATACGCCGTCGATTTGGTCGAATTCGATGTCGACGCTGCAGATGCGCGCAGAGCCGTTGCTTTGGACGAAGTCGACTAGATGTATCCAGCTATGGATGCCACCAACGACGCTGTGAACAGGATCCCGGCCGCCGGGTTTGGCGAGGCCGGCGAGGGTGATGTTGAAACCGCTCCGGCTCGAGAGGCCACCGGAGGGCATTTGCTGGAAGGATCGAAAGCCCGCGAAGGCCTGAAGTCGGTGAGGCGTATCTGGGGCGAAGACAAAGTTCAATATTACCAGTGGGCGAATCGAGGAGTAGGGTTTTGTAATAAACTGTTGACGGCGGCTCGCGAGGTGAGAGACTGGGACGAAGCTGTGGTAAAGTTGAACAGGTTAATTCACAGACGAGCCCAGCAAGTCGGACGACGCAAGGTTAAGGAATCGGTCGACCCTATCGAGCCGGACGACCTGGTAAATCTAAAGGCCTGGTGCCGCAAGGATCCATATGTTAAGAAAAACGACCGCGAAGGAATCGCCCTGCCTTTCAGGAAGCTGGTCGTTGCGGATCTGCCGGCCGGTTTCGGCTTCGACAAGTTCGGGCTTGTGGTGCGAAAGGAAGAGGAGCAATTAGGGAGTGTTTTAAAGGGTGGTGTGTCTGTGGAGGTTGATGTGACTGAACCGAGCCAGCCACCTCAGGGGCCGAGAAAGGAGACGGAGAGTCCACTCAACCGATTCCATCGCCTCGACGCGCGCAATCGCGAGAACGTGGCGCACGCCGGATTGAATATCCGGACGTCCGCTGACATCTTCGAAGAGGGCCAAAGGCAGCATGAAGCGGCTAGGACGGAGAGGCAGGCCCGGCGGAACACGGGACATATGGGTGACGAACAGGTCGGGGCAGATAAGAACCGCCAGCGGGTTAAAGCTGGAAGGCCGAGGAAAGATCCGTCCGCATACAAACCGGTTGCTAAGCCGGGGGACTTATTTCGGGCATTCGAGGCTGCGCAGAACGAGGTCAGAAGGGCCGAGGCAGGGATGCATCCTAACGCATGCGATCGGGAGAGTCTGGAGCGTGCGGGTCCCGGCACTCAAACCCCAGCAGACCTGTTCCAGGCTGCGCAATTTAATTTTGACCGGGTTATGTTGGAAGAGAGGCGCAGTCAAGGGCGGCGTCGCGGTCAAAGCCGGAGAGGTGGACCGTCGAAAGAGAGCCCAGCCGAG